TTGATAAGGATAATTTACTGTTCAAGCTTTAGTGTTTGAACACACGACTTATTATATGTATAAACATTTAAAAAAACTGAGGATTTGTGTGCAAATATGTTGAACAAATATTTGGCCCCTCTATGAATATTGTGGCCCCTTACACTGAAAAATCCTAGATCTGCCACTGAGGTAGACTATTAATGATTAATAAACATGTCGTAATAAGAAAGCCTTATAAATACTGTACTAATGTTTTACACTTTACAATAAGGCTCCCTTTGATAGTTGTGGATATGTACAATATTATATGGAAAATAAGTCTTTCCAAATCATTATTGTACTTACAAGGTAGAACCAAAGTGTGAAATGTTTAATACAGACCTTTAGATGTAATATGTGCATGAAAACATTTGGCTCACTATTTGGAAAGAATCCGCAGTTTTGTCTCTTTCTGCATAATAGCTGATTTATAAAGTGAAATCCTTCAACAACATTTTCAAATATTCAGCATGTTTTTACATTTAATCAAATTAAAAGTGTTTTATAGATAAAAACTGTTTGATTGTTTGACTTGAGCTGGATTTAATGATTCTTAAAATAAACTTTTTACACAAAACATTTCAAATATTGTCTCCTGAAGTCCACCGGGCCACCAGAACCTGGAGACACCTTCAGTCTGAGGTGGACCAGTGACCGCCAGGTGGTCCAGTATGAGGTATGAACACCTGAGGGGGTCCAGGCTGGACTCCGGGGACCGGGGACACCACAGCTGGACTTCAGACCTGGCTCAAATAGGACCCAGAGACCCAGGACAAACAGGAAGAAACACGGGGGGGGGGGGGGGGCTGGTCTTACTCCTCCCCAATCGGATTGATCATCTTACAGTTTACCAGCATCAAAACAATAACAACAACACTGTAAATAACGATGTAAATAACAACACTGTAAATAACGTTGTAAACAACAACAACAACACTGTAAATAACGATGTAAACAACAACAACAACACTGTAAATAACGATGTAAACAACAACAACA